CATGAAGAAAGAATTGAAGCAAATATTTGTTCATATAATAATTTAATGGAAAAATTAGCTTCGTCATTTTATAATCATGTATTGTAAGTTTATTCATTTCGAATAATTATCATTTTATTATCATTTTTCATATATTAGAACTTATCGACAACAAATCATAATAATGACATTTATTTTATTTCTTCTTCAAAAACAAATTCAAATTCCATTATCATGCATTCGAATTATGGTAGACTTTCTTACTCATGAAAATAATGATATACGAAAGGTTTGTCTAGAGTATATTTAACAAACATTCTATTTTCATGTCGCTGGGAGCAGATACTCTTTTTCTAGAATAGAATAAAATACACTTGCGGTTTATTAGAAACAAAAAAAATCGTGTTTCGGACTGAGATCATTTAGAAATAAAGTTCAAGAAAACTATCAGATACATCTAAATGTTCGAAAACAGATTAAGGGATTCCTTCGAGTTTCTGACAAAACACTCAATTTTGAATGGATCATAAGGGTTGATAGTCTAAAGGTCCATGTGTCATAGGAAAAATTACTCGACACTCGACAGCATGCTACTGCAAGGTTAATGAATTTTTTCTTTTACTCTATATAACGTAGGAAAGCGTAATTTTCTGAATTTTGACTGATTACAACTCCTCTCTAATTGAGTTAAACGAATTTTAATCAACGTTTTTCTAAGGAGTAAATTCTTAGATGTCTAGGAAATATTCTTAATGAGAAATATTTTGAAAACTTTCTTGGAAACTAAACATCCAGAAAAATTATTAAAAAAAATGTGATTATTATCATTGTACTTTATTTCTTACATTGAAAGATCTCATATTTAATATTGCAATTACGTTAAATGAATACTTCATCTCCTTAATACAAAAATAGTAATGATAACATTAAAATTTAACGTAATCTCTTAGTTCAAAAACAAAGAAAACAAGTCTTTTCTTTTTTTTTGATTTTATTCAGCTAGCTGAACAATGTGTATCAGCATTATGTCGTATACAAAAACCACCAAGAATTTATCTTGAAAAATCAAGTCATGATCTTTTATATTATACGAATAAAATATGTCCCGGTGATCGTAATGATAATTTATGGGTTACATATAATGATTATCAACCACCTAAAACACAAATTGAATGGGAACAAACATGTTTCTTAGATAAATGTTATTATGGTTATTATGAATGGCCAAAAATAATTAAATATCCAATGAATAAACGTGAACGTCATACAAAAGAAACTATGCCTGAACATGTTGCTATTTTATATAATCAATTTATGAATAAAAATTTTATTACAAAACTTATACAATATATGGTTCTTGAAAATGAAGAAAGTGAAACAAGTTTTAACACACATCGATTTCGAATGTTTAAAGTAGATAATAGAATTTTTTTAAAAATGATTTAATATTAAATATAAACATATTTTTAGGGTCTTTTTCGAAATTTTGGTTTAGATTTAATTGATCATTTTATGGAACAGTTAAATATTTTAATTCATGAAAAAACTAAAGAAAAATACGAAGGTTGTCATCGAGTAGCAGCTGTGATTGTTGCTGGAATGATTCGAGGTTCGAAACATTGGACATTACAAATGGTTTGTATTTAAAAACAAAAAAAAAAAGAATTTATTCATAAAATAAAAATCTATTCGATTTATTCTAGCTTGATGAATTATGGCAAAAAATAATTCCATTTCTTAATGAAGTTTGTGCTAATCTAAGTCCTGAAACTTTATTACATTGGGGTGCATGTTTTAAATTTGCCATGGTTTGTTTAAATAATAATTTCTTATTTTAATGAATAAATTTTGTTTATCTTATAGGAAGATTTAGATCCTCGTCGAATGTATCGTCTTATTGAATTTATTCGTACAT